TTTTTTTTGAGGTGTGAATAACCTTTTAATAAATTAAAATAAAATAAAATATTCAAATAAATATTTTTAAAAATGACCGCAAATAATAAATAAAAGTACCCTCGCCATGGCAAAAAATGTTCGGGTCATGTGACGATCTGCGAGTAAATTATCCAATAACGAATCCAGATTTTGTGTAACATAACACGATCAGGAAAATTCAAAACAAACGTTCGCTTTTTCAACAATTGCTTATTTCTCGAAAATTTTCATAAGAAACCGCCTTCTGCGTTCTAACAAAAAAATTTCCTTGAGAGATTTTACATATATTCCATTAAAATCTAACCCTAATATAAACATTGATCCGATCATAAATAAACTTTAAAGAAGTTTTCGACCCGAACATTTTTCGCCATGGCTAGGGTACTAATAAATAATGGTGACTACACATTTTATATTACCTTACCTTAACATTAGGGAAACAATCTAATTGCATCGATTGATAAATTAAAGAAAAAGTAGCAGAAATCATAGCCTGAGAAGCTATAATTGTAGCAAAAATAGCCAAAACAAATATAATCCAATAAATTACAGGATTAGTAGGAGTAGTTAACCAAAAAGTATTGGAAACTAAGGCAGGATCTAAAACTAAACGAGCAGCTTGGCCTGTATATACTAGAACCAAAGGAATATAAACGAAAAATGGAAAAGAGATCTGGATGGCTTGTCGATTAAAATGACCAAGGTCTGCATATAATGCTTCCACACTATTTAGACAAGTATAAGAAAGGAAATTTTAGATATAATTAAAAGTCGTATAGGTTCCTAAGTTATAGTATTAAACGAAAATTTTACCCCGTAATGGCCAATAGAACGCCACCAAGATCAATAAACTTTTAAAAAAATTTTCAATGATTAAACTAATTGATAATATTTGAAATAAAAATCATAATAAAGATATTTTACCCCATCACCTTTATTTCGAATGAAATAATTAATAGCATAATAGGGATTATAGGCCCTAAGGATTTCGGGGTAATAAGTAATGTTCCAAATGCCGACAGAAGCGATAGAGATAAACCAAAGAGAGACAATTGGAGCAAATAAATTTCCGACTTTGGCCGTACCAAATCGTTGTACCATAAACAATATAAAAATGATAACGCTTTTAAAAATTAAAAATGTGAGATATTTATTCATTTATCAAATAACATAATATATATAATGAAATATATTTAAATACCAGCTAATGGGAACAATAGCAGGTGTTAAACTTGGCACAGGGACGGCCATACCCTCAACGGCAGAAATTACGGAAATAGCAGGAGTTAGCAAGCCATCACTCATAACTAATGAAGAACCAAGAAGGACCACACAAAGTAAAATAGATTGTACAGTTTTACTGCGCTTAATGAAATTTGGATGTTCCTTAGAACTAATAATTGACATGGCATCGTAATTTGCAATCGTCAAA